TTTTTAGCAGCTTTAGTTTTCTTGGCTCCACAATCAACACTCTTGGTACTAGCAGCCAAGAAATTAAAAGATTAATTGCATTGGAAAAGTCTGCTGTCAGAGACCTCTCCAAAGTGCTGAAGAGAAACGATGTCAGTCTGGAGACTGATCCAGGCCATAGTCTTTGTAATTACTTGCTATGCACCAGAAAGCTGGACAATGACTAGGAATGATAGAAGGCAAATTGATGCCTTTGCGCTAGCTAATCACATAATAATCCTTAATAACTAACTACTTTTTCTGGTGTTTTATGACCTCTCTACTGTGTAAAGTTTTTCTGTTTTTCTGTCTCACACAATACCTCTTCATGCTCATAAGCAGATAAATGATGCCTCATGCTTTTCCATTGTAAAGGAGGAAGATCGTTTTCCCCAGGCCCAGACCTGTTCGAAAATCATACTTCAATACTATAGAAAATATGTCTGTAGTGGGAAGATTGTTCGTATGGTGAGAATGCTGAACTTAGAACTTGATATTGCCAGTGTGGAATATGTCATAGATCACAAAGAAGGGGAACGAACAGATTGGAATATAATGAATTTTGAAAAGGAAAGAAATACTGAAGAAAAAAGAAATGAGAAAGAGTAAGGAGAGAGGTTGTCAATTTTTTTACAGCGAAAGCATAACCTTAAGATTTTTTTTCCCCCAAATTAAACTGAGGCTTCAGTTGCTTGAAAAGATGACCCAAATACTGATTGCTTTGCTTTTAAAAAAAAAGTCAATAGGCAGGTTCAGGAAGCAGTAAGATGTTTCATGAACTATATAAAGGAAGAAAAGTGGGGAAAGACCACATACACAACTCTTACTAATTTCCTAACTATAAACACTGTCCTCAATCTGAGTGATAACTGAGATGATTCAAACCTTCTACAAATGGTATTATTAATCCATTCTCTAGAATCCACTCTTAATCATCGCCGGGGTGATTTTTTATTAATTGTAGGTTACCTTAGCCAATACTGCTATAACAGAGGCTCTACAGGTGAACGGCTTTAACAAACCCAACTGTATTCTCTTACACTTAGGGGGCTCAAAGTCCAAATTCAGGATGCCAGCTCTAGGGGACAAACCTCTGTCTCTTTTAGTTGTGGAAAAAGTCCTTGTTTTCCTTTGCATCTGTATGCTACTTATTTCCTGAGCAATCCCCCACATGCCTTGGCCTCCCCCAGTGTTAAAGAGCTTACTTATGTGGGAAACCAAGTCCAAAAAGAGGTCCTCCACAGCTAACAGTTCTTTCTTGGTGACAGCAAGGGTTTCTCCTCCCACCTCCCACCCCACCAGCTTGCTTTTCTCCTATCTCTGACAAGTTAAAGAATGTCACAGGCCATACCTAAGTAGGGGAACTCCCTTTTGTATTAGAGCTCAGATGGAATTAAAGGGTGTCACATTCCACTTTTAACCCATCTACAACTATTTAGTTTACTAGATAGAGGGAAATCATTACATAGCTTCCACATTATATTCTTTCATGCATATATTGCTACAAGATTCTATTTATTCCATGATGTATTTTTATGTATACTCTCAAAATTCATTGCCTTGGAGTCAGAACAGACTCCTAGTTTACTCTGTACAGTTATCTGATTTTGGGAGGCTTTAAACTGCATGGGAGGAGATTGCCTATCTTTTCCCGACTGGTAGATTTGAACCACCAGGGAGGCACCACCTTTGGATTACATTGCAGATCCATAAAGACTGTGCCACCAGAACTCCCCTTGTCTGTATTTGTGTTGTGGTTGTTGGTGGTGTGTGGTGTTGGTGTGTGTCATTGAGTTGTAACAGAAGCATAGAGATCCTCCAGCAGGTTTTCAGAGGCAGTTAATCATATAGGAAGAGATTGCCCATCCTTCTCCCATCCTTCTCTGGTGGAGTCAAACTGCATGCCTTCAGGATTGCAGTGCAGATTCTTACAACTAGGCTATCAGAGCTTCCTTGTAGATGTGAATGAAATATATCTGTGAGTTTATATAATGTGTCTAACCTTAAAGTTCAGATTTTAAAGACACTGATAATAAAAGATAATAAGAAGAAAACTTACGTTTTAAAAAAGTACTTAGCTTATGTCTGAATCTACTTGCAATGGAGTTACCAGAATATGACTTTACTAAATTGGGTCTGATAATCTTAAGAATAGGTTTGAGGCATTGAACACCAATGATAGAAGACCAAGTGAGTTGTAGGATGATATCAAGGATGTCATCCATGAAGAAAGCAAAAGATCATTACAAAAACAGAGGAGGAAGAAAAAATTGAAATGGATGTCAGAAGAGGTTCTAAAGATTGCGCTGGAGTGTCAGGAAGCCAAATCTAAAGGAAAACATGTTGAAGTGAAAGATCTGAACAGACAACTTCAAAGGGCAGCTTGGGAGGACAAAGCAAAGTCTTATAATGAAATGTGCAGAGAGATGGAATTGGAGAATAAAAAGGAAAGAACTTGCTCTGCATTTCTCAAGCTAAAAGAACTGAAAAACAAATTTAAGCCTCGTTTCACAATATTGAAACCTGCTATGAACAATATATTGAATGACCCAGAAAAAAATCAAAAGAAGATGGAAGGAATACACAGAGTCACTGTATCAGAAAGAATTGATTGACACTGAAAAACTTTAAGAAGTACCATATGAACAAGAGTCAAAGGTAATGAAAGAGGAAGTAGACGATGCATTGAAGACACTGGCAAAAAATAAGGACCCAGGAATCAATGGAATACCAATTGAATTGTTTCAATTAACAGAGCAGCCTTGAATGCAATAGCCAGTCTATGCCAGAAAATCTGGAGGACAGTTGTCTTGACAATGGGTAGGAAGAGGTCCGTATTTGTTCCCATTCCTATTAAAGGTGATCCAACTGAATGTAGAAATTATCAAACAATATCATTGAT